CCAAGTTTAACTACTCCAACGATCCGCACCAAGTTTAACTACTCCAACGATCCTTACCAAGTTTAACTAATCCAACGATCCGTACCAAGTTTAACTACTCCAACGATCCGCACCAAGTTTAACTACTCCAACGATCCGTACCAAGTTTAACTACTCCAACGATCCGCACCAAGTTTAACTACTCCAACGATCCGCACCAAGTTTAACTAATTCAACGATCCGCACCAAGTTTAACTAATTCAACGATCCGTACCAAGTTTAACTACTTCAACGATCCGCACCAAGTTTAACTACTCCAACGATCCGCACCAAGTTTAACTACTTTAACGATCCGTACCAAGTTTAACTACTCCAACGATCCGTACCAAGTTTAACTACTCCAACGATCCGTACCAAGTTTAAGTACTCCAACGATCCGTACCAAGTTTAACTACTTATTGACATTTATTAACTGCGACCACACTTTGGGTTTCATGTACATATGAACAATGTTTAATTTCGATCAGCAAATGTAAATGAGTTATGATTGAATGAAAAATGTTAAATGAAACTATAAAACAATAAAATGAATGCATGAATGAGTTATTATTGTTCTAAAAATATAAAAAATAGAATTGCGCAGCTCACACAAGCAGTGAGGCTTAATAAAACCGGTAAATCTACATTTTCTAAATATTTGGCCAGTTTGCGTAGTGACGCAATCCGCTGGTTGCATGATTTGCGTCCAACATTGGAATTCAAATATTTTCCCAGCCTTTCCATCCCATTGAATATACAATATACATTTACAATATATACAATATATACCTTGGACATACTATACTGTACAATTCATACAATACTTCCTTGGACATTAGTCATATATATACACATTGGATATACAATATACATATACAATATATACAATATCTACCTTGGACATACTATACTATACCATTTATACAATACTACCTTGGACATTAGTCATATAAATACACATTGGAATTCAAATATTTTCCCAGCCTTTCCATCCCATTGGATATACAATATAAATATACAATATATACAATATCTACCTTGGACATACTATACTATACAATTCATACAATACTTCCTTGGACACACTATACTATACAATATATACAATATCTAGCTTGGATATACAGTATACATATACAATATATACAATATATACCTTGGACATACTATACTATACAATTCATACAATACTTCCTTGGACATTAGTCATATATATACACTACTATCTTGGAAATACTCTACTGTACAGTGTACAATGAATACAATATATCCTAGGACATGTTGTACGTACTGTACAATAAATATATAACTCCTTGAGCCCAAAACTTAAAACAGGGTATCGTTATGAAAACCAGTTTTGAAACCCGGGTTTCGCGAATGGGGTAAGGCAGTTTTGTGGATATTAATATTTTTGTTTTGAACTATTATTTTATTTAGTTTCTTCATATCCTTCATTTTTTTAATCTCTTAAATCAAAATCTACACAAATGTTAAGACCCCAAAAAGGAAACTCGGGAGTTTCGTTCAACGATACTCTTTTAAATTTTGGGCCTTGGATAACAATACAAAATGTGAGTTTGCGGCAAAAAAATAATCCTTTTTTAATACTTAACATCCATATACCTTTCCTAGGAACTTGTGAGGTCCAACAAAAAAATTAGGCCCGTGATCGGTTAAGCCGTTTTTTCGTCTATTGGATGCAAACAAACAAGGATAAATAGATTTAAAATACTTCCTATGATATGTTGTACCACATTGTACTGTACTGTATAATAATACTGAATATGTGGAATGTATTGAATGTATCAAATAAAATTAATACATCAAATGTACTGAATGTAATGAATGTATTGAATGAATAAATATGTGAATGTTTCTAGTTGGCATGATGCTAGATCGGAGACTTTTCTTTTGTGGTTTCTACCCAGCTCTCCAGTAAATATAATTGGGATCAAAAACAGACAAAACCAAACTAGGACTAGAACACCAGGAGAATCAAGAGAACTAGGACTAGGTATCCAGGTGAATTAAGAGAACCGGGAGTAGATATCCAGGAGAATTAAGAGAACCGGGACTAGATAATCAGAAGAATCAAGAGAACTAGGACTAGAAAACCAGAAGAATCATGAGAAGTAGGACTAGATATCCAGGAGAATTAAGAGAACTAGGACTAGATATCCAGGAGAATTAAAAGAACTAGGACTAGAAAACCAGAGAATTAAGAGAACTAGGACTAGAAAACCAGGAGAATTAAGAGAACTAGGACTTGAAAGCCAGGAGAATTAAGAGGACTAGGACTAGAAAACAAGGAGAATTAAGAGAAATAGGACTAGATATCCAGGAGAATTAAGAGGACTAGGACTAGATATCCAGGAGAATCAAGAGAACCGGTGCTAGAAAATCGGGAGAATTGAGAGGAATAGGACTTGTTTCGCTACTTAGCGATTTCCCTAAAGACCTAATATATATACCGTGTGGTATTTCTCAGGACCGGATCGTAATACTTCTTTCTCTCGACGCTCTTCATAATAAAAGGATGATAGTAAGGTTCCGAACGTTTATTTCTCTGAGCCTTCAATCTAAATAAGTTTAATAAACCCACAGAAAAAGCTTTGAGTGATGAATCATACAAATACAACAAATAATTCACTCAGGCATTAAAAAACTGTGGCTAGGAACCAACAAACACATATATAAATATCAATCATACTGTAATCAAAACGATAAGCATAAATGTATATGAAAATAGTTACCACAGTGATCCCAGAATTCTGGACACGGTTAAAACTTGCAAGACGAATAAACATATACTGATATAAATAATTCACTACTCCGCGAGAAATCTTGCGCCTGCGTAGTCGGTCTGTAAACAGTTCCTAAACTAGTTCTTTCACAATACATTCCGTACAGAACTTCAGGGAGAACTCAGAAATACACAGGGGTGACAAGCAGACTTTATACACGCAGCATGGCTCGCGTAACAGGACTATAAGACTAGTTCTACAATTTCTCCAATTTCTACTTGTTCTTCTAATTCTTCCAATCTTCCTGGGTGTTCAAGCAGTTCTAAGTTCTATTAGTTCTCATAGTTTTCCTTGTTCACCTTGTTCTCCTAATACTTCTGGCTCTCTTAAATATTCTAGCACTCTAAATTAAAAAGTCGTAATTGGGTGAAAACGTTGGATGGTACCCGATCAACATAAATATTATTTCTACTAGTTTTCCTAGTTCCACTAATTCTTCATGATCTGCTATTTCTCCTAAATCTACTAGTTCTCTGAGATCTACTAGTTCAACTTTTTCTATTATGCATCTGGGAGAACTAGAGCAAGCGGACTAGGAGAACCAGAAGAACTAGATAGGATAGCAGAACCAGAAGAACTAGATAGACTAGCAGAACCAAGAGAACTAGATAGACTAGCAGAACCAGGAGAACTAGATAGACTAGCAGAACCAGGAGAACTAGATAGACTAGCAGAACCAGGAGAACTAGATAGACTAGCAGAACCAGGAGAACTAGATAAACTAGCAGAACCAGGAGAACTAGATAGACTAGCAGAACCAGGAGAACTAGATAAACTAGCAGAACCAGGAGAACTAGATAGACTTACAGAAACACGAGAACTAGATAGACTAGCAGAAACAGGAGAACTAGAGCAAGCGGACTAAGAGAACCAGTCGAACTAGATAGACTAGGAGTACCAGGAGAACTAGATGGCCTAGAAGAACCAGGAGAACTAGATAGACTAGCAGAAACAGGAGAACTAGTAGAGCTAGAGAATTATGAGAAATTGGCGAACTAAGGGGGGGTCAATTTGACCCCCCCTGTAGTTTTTTTTTACATAACTCAAAAAATATTGGTCTGAGGCTGTTGAAATTTTCTGACTTTTCTTACATACCCAAAGCCCTCCCTTTAGGCCTAAAACCGGGCTTTAATACTAACTGCCTGAGTCCTCAGGCACACTGCCTGAAAGACTGCTTTTGCCTGTAACAAACTAAATCTTTGTTTTGACCCACTTTCACTTGTCAGATTTTGATAAAATTTAGCATATCCTGGTTTTCAAGTACCCCAGCAGGGATAGGGTTAAAACCCAGAAAAATAGATAAACTAAAACTTGGAGAACTAAAACTTAATACTTTGCGTTGGGTTAAAAATTCTCTGGCTCATTTGTTTGTACAGATTTCAAGGATTTCAAATGACTCATTGGTAATTCTGGATTTCAATATTTGACTGACTATCCCCCTCTCTCTGATACTGATGAACTTTCAGATAAGAAAGAACGGTCTGTGTTGAGTTCGAGAATAAATTCCTAGAAATCAGTCAGCTATGATGCAAAAATTAAATTATGTTTCACAATTTCAAGCCAAAAATAAAAAAAAAAAGATTATGGATCTAGATTTTAGTAAAACGAAGAAAGAAGTTAAAAATCGATGAAGTGTAAAGCATTATTTTAGCCTTTTTCTAAAATATATTACAAGCAGAAGTACTGTCATGCTTGAAGTTTTCTTAACTCTTTGTATAACAGTCTCACATTTTTTTTGTTAAAATGTGTTTATTTTTCTTTTTTCTTAAAATATTCTGCTTTCCTACAATTAGATTCAAGTAATTTTTTAACATAAGGTTTAAAGTCTGATATGAAAAAGCATTGAATTAATTTTATATATAGCTTAGGAAATATCATATTTATATAAATATAAACTTTCAATGACGCACAAAAATGTCGATAAAGAAATATAATTCTGATTATTTCTGACGTCAGTTAAAAACTTACCAAGAACTTGTAAAGATAACAGTCAAGTATTAAACTTTTTTATACATTTAATGTTGCACGACATTATATTCTGAAAGATTTGAGTAAGCATTTACTTTTAATTTTATGAACGGACCAAAGTGAAAACAAAACCTAACGTTTTACCTATTTTTTCTTTTAAATTACAGGCTTTTATTTAAAATAGTTTTAGAAAATAATAATTAAAAAAAATAAATTCATATTCTATTTATAAAGTGATTTTTTATTACAAACATATTATATAATGAAGGATTTAATATCCTTCGTTATAATTAGTTAAAGGTTCTGGTTCTTGATTATATCCTTAGTTCTGATTGGGTAAAGGTTCTTGCTCTTGAATATATCCTTGGTTCTGATTGGGTAAAGGTTCTTGTTCTTGAATGTATCCTTGGTTCTGATTGGGTGAAGGTTCTGGTTCTTGAATATATCCTTAGTTCTGATTGGGTAAAGGTTCTTGCTCTTGAATATATCCTTGGTTCTGATTGGGTAAAGGTTCTTGTTCTTGAATGTATCCTTGGTTCTGATTGGGTAAAGGTTCTTGTTCTTGAATATATCCTTGGTTCTGATTGGGTAAAGGTTCTTGTTCTTGAACAAATCCTTGAATTTCATTTCTTTTGCCATCTTTCTCTTTAAAGTTGACAGCATCAGCTGTATTAATATTGCCCAGGGAAGAACTAGAGTATGCAGTATTGGAATGTATCTGAAACATGAACTTTATCGATATCTTTATTGTGAATAATATATAAAAACTATTCTAAACGTTATTAAGAACACTTTAAGGGACAGCTCTCAATAATGATTAATCCCCAAATGTAGTTTCAAAAAAGTACATTTATACAATTAAATTTTTTTCTAATATAACCTTTCCAATTCATTGTCTCACGTAAACTTTTCGCCAAGTAAATAATTTTCATACGTAAAAAATGTGTAGATTTAATAATCGAAATAATATTCTTAAGCGTTCGTGGGTTTGGAATCTTTGGGAAATTACCGTTTGAGAAATTGTCTTTAAGGAAAGCATCTAACACTAGATTAGAAAATATTGTTAAAGTAACCTGATCTTCTCCCTTGGATTCAACACATGCCTGACAACTACATTCAGAAGGAATCCTTAAACAAATCAGAATTAAAAATTAAAACAAACAATTTTCTAAGTTAAAACATTGATATCTCATTCATTTTTGATCATACCAAGCTTTTGTGAACCGGACATGCCATATTTTACAGTGACTGTCCTTTTTGTTGGATTTATATTTAAAAAACTTACGTGATTTCTACTGTTAGAGTATATCCGTCCTGGCATAAAGTGTTGACGGAGAGAGATTTGATAGCAGTAGTTTGACAACAGGTACAGTAGGAGATATGATCACCTAATCCTGAAAGAAACTTTAATTAAAGATATTTCAAAACCTATAAATTCTGATTAAGTTACACTGAGCTCTTCCTCAGACGATAAACCTCCAACTGTATGATTTAGAAATTATGTCGTACAATAAGATCAGGGTTTGTTTTTAAGACGGTAATGTTGGTTTGACAAATCCCGTCATTAAAAGTTATGTTTAAAAAGCAACAACTATATAAAATTATGTGCTTTAGTGAAATATATCTATCTATAAGTTAATAACATCAATCTATCATAAGCTAAATATCTCCTTACTTGAATTAAACCTGGAGCCGGACGAACAGGCTCCTCCGCACTCTGACCAGCCTGGGACGGGTTCAGGGTTGGAGCAGTTTCCATGCTCCGGGTCGTAGAAGGCTATTTCTCCTCTGCTCTCTGAACTAGGCTTCAAACTACAAACTGCAAACAAATAATTTGTTTATATGATAGGCATAGAATCAAGGAATTTAAAGGGAGCTTCTATAAAATAATATGTACTGCAGTTTCTCGTACAAATGTAAACAAAGCTTAGCTGGGCAGCACTGCGTATGTTTACATTCCTTCCAGTACACTTGTCTGTGAGAGTTCCTGTTATATATATTTCTTAGATAGAATGAAGTGTCAAGGAAATAAAATTTTATAAACAATTTTCACAAACTTTGTCATACATATTTTTTCAAAACTGATCAATGTTTAACGTAAAATGAATTGAGTTTTTGCAACAAAATCTGATTTTCTAATAACTATATCTTTCCATTCCGATGTTTTAGACCCTGATATTTCAAATTATGAATTCTATTAGATCAAATAATCTTAGTTTGAAATATCAAAGGTTTACATCATCAGATTGGAAAGATATAGGGATGAGAAAATTTCTGTGTGAGGCAAAAACTCAATTTCTTTAGCAAAACATTGCATTTTTCAGAAAATACCCAATTCTCTTTATTGTGAAGTTTTAAAACTTTGGTGAAAGACAGCGCGCAGGATTATGTACAGTACAGAATAAGAATATTCCAGGAGAACAAATAAATCTGATAAATATGCAAGAGTTCAGTGTACAACAACCAAACCTAAAACCAATCTTTCACAATGCATTTATCAACCCTTCAAACATTCACTATTCATCAATTTCCAACCAAACTTAAAAAATACTAACCCCAACCAATCTTTACAAACCCGATAAAAATCTGGAATTTTCTTAAATAAACCTTTTCTGAGAGAAAATTAGATAGCTTCTAATATTTTCCAATAACAAGTGATTAGATAAATTGTTGTTAAAAAAGTATTAACTATTATCATTCGTTCACAAAATGAGATACTATGTAGAGCTTGATAAAATCATTTTGATATTTTTTTTCAATAAAAAAGATAATTATAAGATTAAGATGAATATTATACACTGATACACATAGAATAATGGAAAAGGAAGACGACATTCAAACAACCTTATGTGTATTTTATGTGTTTGTAAAGCATATAATTTTAGATTTAAAATCAATGTATTAAATTTAAAATTCAGTATATGTTCACTACACTGCAAACTTGATGTGTTTCATGTTTATTGGAATATATATCTAAAATCAAAACTTGAGTCTGACAGTCGTCTTCCTTGTCCAACGTAGGATGGGTCTAACTGTACTATCACCTTGATTACTGGAGCAGATACTACAACAGCCCGCATCGTCCAAATATATATGAGAAGGCGGACAGTCCGGCGGTAGGGGCGGACACACAGCAGATACCTCACGTAGTGTTACCTTCAACACAAATTCAAATTATTGTGAATGTAAAAAATATAATTAAAAAGTACGTCTTTTATCCTCTACAGTTTTTAAACATTAAATATATATGGGGGGGGGGTGCCGTTGGGCCAAAGCCCCCTTCTATAAAAGTTAAAAATACGATATCCAGAGGGGGATGTGCCCACCCGGAAAAATTCCTGTCACGCCGCCACTTTAAAATAATATATTTTGCAAAATGTAAATATATTTTATGTTGATGACATTTTTTTGTGATATTTCTTTCAAAGAAAGGAAACTGGTGCACGGTAAGCTAGTCATATGTCCGGGTAAATCAAGTTTGTTTATGTCGCGGTATGGTTCATTAGCAATTAAACTTTTGCTTTTGGACCTTCTATTACTTTTTAAAAAGAAAAGTCCACAAAAATGGAAAACTGATAGAAAAACAAAAAGTGTAAACATTCAAAGAAAATTATGTAAAAAGGGAACCACTAATAATTTAAATTACTGTGCCGTTAATAAATCAAATTATTTAATGCATTTAATGCATGAAAATATTGCACAAATTCAAGAATTGCACAGAAATTAAATGAATTTTTTGTCTTAGATTTTTTCTTAGAATATGCAGAAAACTTCACAGGCGCGTACGAGGGGGGGGGCCGCGCCCCCCCGCCCCCCCCTACGCGTGCCCCCCCTAAGAGGCTGACGGGGGGCACCCATAGGAGGGGGTCTTTTAATATTACATCTGCTTGCATTTAACCCTTCCTCAGGCTAGGCAGTATACATTCTACATTGCATTGCATCGTTTAGCACTCTCCGCAGGCTAATGACCTGGCTGAGGATGACTATGGGGGCTACAAGGCTTTGCAACCTTGCCCGTTTAAATATTCATTCAGATATATTAGATAGTATTTCAAACGAAAAACTATTGAAAAGATTTGTAGAAAAAAGTCCAAGAATTCTTGACTTTGGAGGCAGTATTTTTAAAGCTTTTCATTATCTTTTTTTAAAATCATTTTGTGAAAATCTTTTTTTCATTTCTTCAAAGTTCACTAACTAACAAAGCAGTTTAATTAATATAGAATCAATTGAGAGGTTTAAAGTGACTGCAGAGATAATT